CTGTACTCATAACGATCAATTTCCATTGTAGCTGTGGAGAAGAACAAAGTGGAGAGTTCGTCTTCTCTGGCTCAGAACGATTCGTCAGAAGCTACAGCTGAAGGAGAATCAGAGCGACCTGCATCTGATTTTAGTATGAATATTGGCTCTCATGAACGTAAAACTGAGGAAAGTAAACCAGCGCAGGAGGTCTGCACTGATGGAGATGAAAATAAGAGGAGCAAGAAAGGGAATGATCCTGAAAATTCGCCACCAACTAATTTGTAAGCGAAATAACATCTTCATATCCATCAATCGTTCCTGAAACAATCAATTTGAATCTAAACTTTGTGTGCATTCTTAGGATTCCAGAGGCTGAGACCCAGAAAGAACAGAAATTCAAAATTGATTTGATGGTCAGAATCTGCAGTTCTAAATTTCATTTTAGATTTCCTCTGAATTTTTAGTGTGAAAGTTCTAAGAACTGCCTTTGTTGAACAGGCTCCTCCGGCTCCAACATCGCCAGAAAGGGATGGGCTGGCCGATATGGTATTGAATGCTAAACCTTTGAATCTGGAAATAGAAATGGTGGATTCGCAGTTTTTGTTTTCTTTTTTGAACTTTTGATTAATGGGTTTTTTTTTTTTTTGCTTTAATAAATCTGGTGTAGGTTGAAAAGGAAGTAGAAGGATTTAAGGAAAAAGAAAAAGTGATCTATGAAGATAAGATGGTGACAAGTGATAAAAAGATTGAATTCCTTAAACTGGATATGGAGAAATCACAATTAGATAGCAATAATAGCATCATAATTCAAGAACAGAGTCACAATCAGCAACCTAATGGAGCCGCCAGCACAGTTGAAAAAAATGGTACCCATCATTTCATCTTGAAATTGTATTCAATATGTTGAACAAAACACAATTATATGGCTAACTGTCCTCTCAACTGTTGTGATGATTGTTCTTTTCCACAGAATCATCCACTTCAGTGCGCTCGCCCATTATTCTGGGTGGCTGGCCAACGACCGAAATTCCTCCTGTCGGGTTAGAAATCACTTCTTTAGAACTTTTTATTGAAAGCAATGGCTTGGTTTATATGTATTTCGTTGTAAGAATTTTCCTGTGCACATTTAAGTGAGATGTGTTCGTTTTTTCCCCATATAATTCGGGTTCAGCTCACATTTCCGGACAGTTCTTCCTTTGGATAGTGTTGACAAATCATCCTCCAAACTACAGGTACTTTTCAGGACTGGTAAAATCTTTGTTCCATCTGTGGATTCATCACTGAATTTGCTATTGTATGTTCAAAACTTGCAGCATCCAAATTTCATCCTGTCACACCCTCGGCCAAAACGGTGCTCGACTCATTATGACATTGCCCGAAACATTTACTTACACCAGCAGTTTACAAAGACGAACTATTTCCACCCAGCTGGGGATGCTTCTGCATCTCTTAAAGAGGCCAAACTCAAAAGCATGTCCTCAAAAGAAGGAATGATTTTGAGTAACCCATTGGGTGCAAATCATTTGGATATGAGCCTAAATTCTGTGCAACAGAGAGAGCAAACTGAAGGTTACTTTTCTGGGAATGTGACTAATGATAAAGGCTCCGAGGCTGCAAATTTTGCTGATATGACTAAAAGCAAGCAGCTTGTATTTCAGCAGGGAGCATCTTTTGGTAACTCAATGGTGGTACGATCTTCTCGACTATTTTCTATTGAGAATTATTGGGAGGGAGTCATGTATTGGCTAATTTAGGAAATGATCATGAGTTTATAAATTAGGAATACATCTCCATTGGTATGAGGTTTTTTGGGGAAGCCCAAATCAAAGCCACGAGAGCTTATGCTCAAAGTGAACAATATCATACGGTTGTGGAGATTCATGATTCCTAACATATTATCAGAGTCATGCCCTTAAATTAGCCAATATTCTTCCTTGAATTTTCTCTCTCCTGTTCTTTGTGTTTGTGCGATCATAACATTTTGTTCACTGAATTCATGTAATCTATTTATTTTTCAATTGGTGGGTCTGTTCATATCAGCGAAAATTTTATTCTCCTTATTTTCTTTCTACTGCAGCCTGGTTCTGGATTCATATTCCCTATTGGTCAGTATCAAGCACCGACAGCTGCCACTGGAAATCAATCTGGGTCCACCAAATCTAGTAAACAATTGACATCACTGTTCAGCAATAATCCAGAAGGTGGAACACTCGTGAGCTTTCCAGCATTACCTGCAGTATCTAGTAACATGAACTATAATCATCCAAATGTGGTTTCGATTGAAGCTCCGTACTTGGCAAAGCTTCAGAACAATGACTATCCATTCACCTTTCCTACTGCTGCAGGAACTACTGCAACATATAGAGCAAACAATGGCCAAACCTTGCCTCTTTTCAATGGTTCTTTCTATCCATCTCAGCTGTTCCATCCATCCCAGATTCAGCCAGCACAAACTCAATCTCATCACCAACCAAGTGGCTCCCATAAACAACCACAAACTCAGCAGCACCAATGGAGTGTGCATGTTCCTGGGAACAATTTAGTGCCATCAAATAGTATGCAAGTAAAGCAGTCGACAGAACAGCATTTGTCACTCTCTAACCAATCTTGCAAGCATGAGAGTGAGGCCAGTGGAGAAGACGCGACATCGTTTTCTGACAAGCGGGCAGCTCCGGTACAGAAAAGTGCTCATGAACAAAACTTCATTTTGCCTGTTCAGGCACTGGGATTCACTTTGATGCCGTCAGCGACATTGAATATTGGCAATGGTGGAAACAGTGGGGACAAGAAACAGTCTCATCCACAGAATTTGAAGAACACTGTTGCCTTGGTTCCTTCCCAGGGACTCACTATGTCCTTTGGTTCGTATAATGGAAATGGTACCCATTCGAACCTCAACTTCACGCCGATAGCGCACAATACAACGGTTTTTCAGAATCTTCCTGATGTACAGAGGGCTGCACCACAAGCTACAAAGCACAAGAATCACCAAAGTTCTGATGGAAGGAATGGATTCGTTCTTTCGGGTAATATCGATAGGAACACTGGGAATTCTTCTGCAAAGCCTTCTGCTACTTCAGGGCAGACTCTGGTTTTTGGTAATTCTGCAAGGACCCTTAACTTCATGACATCTTCTGCCTCTGTAAACTGGCCATCCCCTTCCACCAAATCTTCTGCTTTAACAACAAATCGACCTGCTGGTATCCAACAGCAACAAGCAACGATGTCGTCTCGTATGGCACCTCGTACTAAAGTACCAACTGATAGTAGCTTGCCCTCATCAGCTACAACCAAGTTTTCTTGTAATCCCCCTCCTGGCTTCTCAAAACCATTGATACAATGTGACAAATCAATCCAGTCGAACTCAGGAAGAATGGTGGCCTCTGTCGTCCCTACGACATCCCTCCATCTTTCTTCCTCTACTTCAGTCCATAAGAACTCCAGTCAGCCAAAGGGAAGTACTCTTCAAGGCCAGACCCAGATATCGTTTCGGGGAGATTTCAAGCCATCCTTTACTCAGATGCAACACATTCCTACTAGCAGTCACTCTTCATCTACCAGTGGAAAATTAAGAAACACAAGCAGTAAAACCAGTCCATCAGTTGCTCCCGCGCAACCAAAGCAGGACGAAAGCTCATCGACCGGAGCTGGACAGAAATCATCTCCTGTCTGTGGTAGAAACGTGCCTTCAATCTTGAACACATGCCCCAGTCATCTCTCAGAACTCAAATACTAGACCCTTTTTGTTCCAGCAGTTTTGAAGGATGATCTCAACTCTACAAGTGGTGAGCTCTCACAATACCAGTGGAAATTGAACCTCGTATGTGGTTGGTTTCTAAGGAGCTCCAACCATGATGCTTTTCTAGACTTGCCAAAAGACACGACACACATTCTTGGGGATCGAGTGCTCAAAAAGTTTGCCACCACCAGGACATATTGATGCGGGATTCGCCAGAAGCATGTCGAGGAGCATAACGACAAATGGGCATGGATTTTTGATGAAGAAAATCACGAAACTTTGAAGTTTAGGTGTAGTGACTAGAAGTTGGTTAGTTAGATGATGTATATTGTAAGTCATTGCATATTAGTAGGGCCATTTTTTGGGTTAAATATATATATATATATATTGTTTAGTGATAGAGATAGAGTTGTGAATATGATATTATTATAGTTGAGAAATCTATTCCTTGACTCAGAATTATTGCATTCAACAGGGAAAGAATAGACAAATATCTGAAGGGGAAGGAGAAAAGAAGAAGAAACAATGAAAAGGTGAAACTTTTGCTCTAAGATTCTTATTTTCTGTCAGTTTCAGTAGTGAAAATAATACAGTTTGATGCACTGAGAAAATAAGGAAATTATTATTATTATTATTATTATTTTATAGCATAATAAATGTAGAAAAGTATGAATTTTAAATTTTAAATTTCATTTAATTTAGACAAGAAAAGTAGTGACACTACGTTTATTTCTAGAACCTATTGCTTTTAATTATGCTTTTACAATAATAATAATAATAATAATAATAATTATTATTATTATTATGTCTTTATCCTTTTTATTAAAGTTTACCAAAAGTTGGTGTCTTTTATAAAGAATGACAATAATGGATAATAATAAATGCTATTTGAATGTGTGTTCATTGTATTTTTACAGTTTAGTATGTAATAATTTAATTTTTTTGTACTTTAAAAATTGTAATATTTATTTATTTAGATATAATAATTTTTTTTACAATAGGTAAACAAATAAAGTCTATGGAGATTAAATTATTATAAATCTAAAAAGTAGAATGACTTTAAATTTATATATTAAATTGTTATAAATTTTAAATTACTTAGAAACTAAATTGTTAATTTCTTGGACTATAAGAATTTATTTAATTTTTAATTTTTGTCACATTTAATCAAATGAAAAAAAAAAAAAAATACAAAATGCAATTTGACAAAAATATAAATAATCCAACAATAATTAAAAAAAATTGCACTCCAATGTAAACATCATATATATATATATATATATATATATATATATATTAGTTGTGAAGAATAGAAGTTAAAGCTTGTTTGATGTCTTGTTTGGCTTGTTTATCAAATGGATCTTCACCAATATACAGATCTAAAATGGCTCTGCACAGTAGTTGGCTCTCTATGCTTCCCACTTCCTTCCCATCAACTGCAAAAATTTTAAACATAAATGCACAAAATCATAATAAAAATATTTTATTCTTTAATCCGTTCGAGTCATTCAGGCCTCCGATCTCTTAATCAAGCGAGCTAAGTGTTCATCAGTTGGTTAGCCGATGCATTCAGACATGTTTTTAACAAACCAAAGACATGCGGATAAAGTAACGTTAGGAATCACGACCCTCTATAATGGTATGATATTGTCCACTTTGAGCATAAGCTCTCGTGGCTTTGATTTTGGTTTACCCAAAAGACCTCGTACCAATGGAGATGTATTCCTTGCTTACAGTGTAAGGACCCAGATCTACCGCTAGCAGATATTGCCCTCTTTGGGCTTTCCCTTTCGGGCTTTCCCTTTCGGGCTTCCTCTCAAGGCTTTAAAACGCGTCTGCTAGAGGAAGGTTTCCACACCCGTATAAAGAGTGGTTTGTTCTCCTCCCCAACCAATTTGAGACATCACAATCCACCCTCCTTCTGGGCCCAGCGTCCTCGCCGGCCCTCCTTTCTTTAATTGATGTGGGACCGCCACCAAATCCACCGGGAAGGTTTCCACACCCTTATAAAGGGTGGTTTGTTCTCCTCCCCAACCAATGTGGGACATCACATATAAACTCATGATCATCCTCTTAATTAGTCAATGTGGGACTACTCCTTTCAAGTAATTCTTCGTGGGATGTAATTTACCGTTTAGAAGCCTCTATTCCTTTCTCCACTACCTTCTCTTTCACCACAAATAATGTATAGAACAATTCATCATTGCAATAATAAGAATCGAAATCTCACTGATTGTGCGGAGGACATGGCCTCGTTCTTTGGAGAGATCGATCACGGACCCTCGAGGTATTTTGTACTCGTCTTTGAATTGGGAAGTGAATCTGCAAAGAAGCACGGTTTAAGGATCAAGAGTAGGGTATACAGTGTGTGCCTTTTACATATATTACACTAAGATCATGACTCACTTGTGAAGCAATTCTTTGTTGTCTGAACCCCCGAACTTCTCGAGTCGACTTCCAACCGATTCTTCAAAAGCACTTCGAACGGATCGGATGCTCAGTCTTCCGTAGACTATTTGAAGTCTAACAGTCATGCATATATCAGCTTCCATGATATCTTTATCAAAGTTCTTTTCTTGTAGTTCAGAGACACTGAGTTTTCCATACTTCTCACTCAATGATTCTTTTATGTCATTGTTATCGGCATAAACACCTACACCCAATCATTTGAGTAGCTTAACATGGAAACATTTTCAATATCACAAAGATAGAAAACATATTGACCCTTCCATCTCGGATTTCAAAATATAACCGTGAGATTCTACATCAGTTGGGGAAGAGAACGAAGCATTCTTTATGAAGGTGTGGAAACCTCTCCCTATTACACGCGTTTTAAAAACCTAGAGGGAAAGCCCGAAAGGGAAAGCCTAAAGAGGACAATATTTGTTAGTGGTGAGCTTGAATCATTACAAATGGTGTCAGAACCGGACACCGAGCGGTGTGCCAGCGAGGACGCTGGGCGCTGAAGGCGGGTGGATTGTGAGATCCCATATTGGTTGGAGAGGGGAACAAAACATTCTTTATAAGAGTGTGGAAACCTCTCCCTGGTGGACACGTTTTAAAAACCTTGAGGGGAAGCCCGAAAGAGAAAGCCCAAAGAGGACAATATTTGTTAGCGGTGGGCTTGAGCCATTACAAATGGTGTCAGAGCCAGACATCGGGTGGTGTGCCAGCGAGGACGCCGGGCCCCAAAGGGGGATGAATTGTGAGATCCCACATCGGTTGGAAAGAGGAACGAAACATTCTTTATAAGTGTATGAAAACTTCTCCTTAGTAGACGCGTTCTAAAAACCTTGAGGGGAAGTTCGAAAGGGAAAGCTTAAAGAGGACAATATCTGCTAGCAGAGTTTATCTTTTTAACAAAGATTGTAACTCATGAACTAGGGCGAATCTCAACCACCCACTATTTCCATCTTCAACCCAATGGAAGTTCATTCCATTGTTTTTGCCAAACTATGTCTTAAAATGAACGAACTCCTGGGTAGATTTGGGGCAGAGCTAGAAGTATAAGATGTTGAGAATGCTATAATTCATTAAAAGTGAAGGTTAGCATAAACTTGAAGTCTAGGCTGAGTTCATTTCTGATATCAATTGGAAGCACAAATGACTCCCCTTGAGTTAGAAGCAATCAATCTACAGCTTATCATCATAGTCATCAAGAAGATGATCTGATTGAACTGGAACTTATCATGTTCCACTCACTTTTGTTTCCTTTTTTGAAACATTCTATCTGTTTTCTTTTGTTCTTCGCTTTGTTTGATCTTTTCTTGAGAATTATTGAAGATGCTACACAACTTTCAAATTCAAATCATGACTTCAAGTGGGAAATAACATCAAACTTTGGATGGGCCATCCAGTGCCATTATTAAGAACAGATCTTAACAGTCTCCCAAAGCCCTAGATCATTACTAATCAATACTATTTACAATCTTCCTGATACTGAAAATCCAATACGATTCACAAATGTCGATCTCTTCATTCAATCAGCATAAATTCAACATTCAATCAAAATTTATAAAGCTCGCTTAAAAGTGGAAATGTGGAATGATTAACATACCATATGCATACACATTGATATTCTTCACTCCCAAAATCGCCTTTCTCCGCAACCCAATTCCGAGAAGCTGCTGAGAGTCTCCGATTACTGACGGAAATGACATTCCAGTTTTGGAGTCAACAACTGAAGAGGTGGTTGAATTGTCCGCCAGAGATAGAGAAGCCCATAGGGGCGATGAATGACTTCGGAAGAGCGAATTTAATGCACTTTCGAGAAATGGGGATTGTTGGTTCGTCGAGTTTATAGTTACAGCGACGAATCCGGCTGCTGCCGCAGCGCCGCCGGCCGCGACGACGGCGTAGGAGGGGCGGAGAAAGCCATGGCGTGGAAGCTTTGGCGGCTGAGGAAACGAGAATGGAAATCGGAGAGAGACCATTTTCTTTTTGGCGGCCTGATAGACAACAATGTCTTTTTAGCAAGGAAAAAAATAAAATAAATGAAATTAAAAAAATGCGTTAATTACATATTTTCTCAAGCTCGTATAATTTTAGAATTTTCAGAATTGAAAAGATTTTTAATTTTGTGTTTCAATATTTTTAAAAATTTATGAACCTTATTAGTCTCAAAAATTAAAAAATTTTAAATCCTTATTTGACAGATAATTCAATTTTTTCTAATCACTTAAACCGATATGAAATTAAAAGTTTATTAGACAATTTTCAAAATCTATGAAAAAATCTATAAAAAGTTTTAAAATTTTCTATTAAACACCATTTTTAAAATTTCCATAACCGGATTTAATGTGTATTTTCTGACAAGACCCACATTTAACTGGGCTGGCCCATTATGGAGAATCAATGGCCTGATGAAATATGGGCTGGCCCATTTTGGAGAATCAATGGCCTTATGAAATATGGGCTGGCCCATTTTGGAGAATCAATGGCCTTATGGAATATGGGCTGGCCCATTTCGGAGAATCAATGGCCTTATGGAATATGGGCTGGCCCATTTTGGAGAATCTATGGCCTTATGGAATATGGACTGGCCCATTTTGGAGAATCTATGGCCTTATGAAATATGGGCTGGCCCATTTTGGAGAATCAATGACCTTATGGAATATGGGCTGGCCCATTTCGGAGAATCAATGGCCTTATGGAATATGGGCTGGCCCATTTTGGAGAATCTATGGCCTTATGGAATATGGACTGGCCCATTTTGGAGAATCTATGGCCTTATGGAATATGGGCTGGCCCATTTTGGAGAATCTATGGCCTTATGGAATATGGACTGGCCCATTTTGGAGAATCTATGGCCTTATGAAATATGGGCTGGCCCATTATGGAGAATCAATGGCCTGATGAAATATGGGCTGGCCCATTTTGGAGAATCAATGGGCTGGCCCATTATGGAGAATCAATGGCCTGATGAAATATGGGCTGGCCCATTTTGGAGAATCAATGGCCTTATGGAATATGGGCTGGCCCATTTCGGAGAATCAATGGCCTTATGGAATATGGGCTGGCCCATTTTGGAGAATCTATGGCCTTATGGAATATGGGCTGGCCCATTTTGGAGAATCTATGGCCTTATGAAATATGGGCTGGCCCATTTTGTAGAATCAATGGCCTTATGAAATATGGGCTGGCCCATTTTGGAGAATTAATGGCCTTATGAAATATGGGCCGGCTCATTTTGGAGAATCAGCAACATCTGAGGATATTAAACACCTTCTATCTTGTGAAAAAATAGCATTCCGACGACATAGGAACGAAACGAAATTTAACATTTTCAAGTTTATCTATATTGCAAGAAAAGGTTTTAGACAATTTGAGTTCAGAAACATATTTAGGATACACATACATGACACAACCTGTTTTCAAGATGACTTTGACTATCTCCAACTTATGAGCACTTGATGTTTCTTCTTCGTCAAAACTCCATTTATATGTAGTTAATCGTATTCGAGCTCGTCGGGAGTCACTGGCCTTTTAAGTGGGATGATGGACTTCTTATTGACGTCCCGTGATAATGCTTTCCTCATATCTGAATATAAACCGGAATAGGGTTAATTAAGAGATTACGTAATAACTTTTCGTTTGTTCTTTTAGGTAGGGTGGACTCACCTAATCCATCTTCCTCCCCTGAATAATAACGTAGCACACGCCGATAGATGACGTAGTCGAGCTGGTTGAAGAGGGAAAACAACATTAAACATGTCAAGGTAAGTATCACCTTGCTCAATATAAAGATCTAAAAACCATTTCAACAGTGAAATAATTACGAAATTTAATGTAGAAAAGCTACTGAAACATATGACCATATTATCCAAAGCCAAAAGCTTAAGGCCGGGGGGGGGGGGGG